TTATGGTTGAGATTACTGCACTTTTAGTGATAGCTATGTTAATGCAGACTTGATGGGCTGAAGGTTCTTTTCTGCACTATACGAATCTATGAACAATAAACTCTATCTAAACAGTGTGATATTTTTATCTTAAACTTTTCCAAAAACACTAATTGGTTATGATCAGTATATACAATTTTCTCAGACACATTACCAGCAACATAAATGTTGCAATGCCAACACCAAACTCAAGATCTCCTTCTCAATTGCAGAATATTTCTTTTGATGAATATTCAACTTTCTGGAAAAATATCCAGTAGGTCTTTCTATCTTCTTGCAAGAGTCAGTACCAACACTCACATCACTCGCATTTATAGCCATCTTGAATGACTTTGCATAATTAGGTGTGTCTAACACTGGGACAGTGGTTAACACAGCTTTCAGGCTGTGAAATGTCTTCTGACATTTCTCCATTCATTGAAATTTTCAGCACTTCTTCAACAAGTCATTCAATGGAGCAACCACACTGCTAAACTTTGATATGAATTTTCGATAAAACCATTCAGTCCCAGGAATCTTAGTACTTCCAATAACTTCATCTGGTCTGGTCTACGTGTGACTCCAGACCCATAACAATGTTGTTTACCCTTAACTTGCCTCTGAAATACCTAGCAAGACATTCACTTGAATCAAAGCGCTAAAAAGTCTCAAAGAAATAAAACTAGACGAATCATCTAATGTTGATCTAGGCATCAGAAATGTCAATGGCAATCTCAGCTCTGTTGACCCTGCAAAGACTATCATCCTTGCAAATTCCTCTTTACTCACATCTGGAGGTTAGTGCCAAAATTGGGAAATTGCTTTCAAAGACTTGTCAAGCAATAGCCTGACATAATCATGCTTATATAATTGTACCTCGTAGCATTATGTATGGACACCTCCTGCTGGCTGTAATGAACCCTCCCACCATTCCCAACCACCTGATGAATCAGGTCTCCTACATGTTGAAAACTTATTGAAGGAAGCATAGGGGGTGGTAAGCATGCCAAATGAACTCTGGGTTGGAGCCTGCAATGTCTACCCCCAAGAATGGCTCACTAACCACTACTAACCAACCTAAGGTGGTCCATTCTTAAAGGATATAGAAAGTAGAATGAACCTGTCACAGGAGCTGAGGAAACCAACAAGAAGCAAAAAAGCATACTTGACCTCATCTTCACTAATCTATCTGTTGCAGATATATCTGGCTATGGCAGTATCAATAGGACTGCCCACTACATGGCCTTGTGGAGATGACGTCCCATCTTCACATTGAGCATACACTCCTTGGTTTTGTGTGGCACTATTACCGTGCTAAATGGAATAGATTGCAAACAGATCTAGCCATCAAGACTGGGAATTCATAAGAAAAACTGAAAAAACTGCGGATGCTGTAAATCAGAAACAAAAACAGAAGTTGCTGGGAAAGCTCTGCAGGTCTGGCAGCATCTGTGAAGAAGAAAATCAGAGTTAATGATTTGGATGCAGTAACCCTTCCTCAGAACTGATGGTAGCTAGGAAAACATCAGTTTACATGAAGAAAATAGAGGGGGTCATGGGGTAGGGAGTAAACGATAGGATAAAGGATAGAGCCCAAAGAAAGAGAAGAGCAGTTGGATAAACAAAGGAGTTGATAATGTTCTGGCGAGGAGGGTGAGTAGCTGTTAATGGGGACTGTTATTGACCAACAACAGTAATGTGCAATGACAGGCTATGTGGTAACAAGGCCTGGTGTGTGGGGTAGGGAGCTAGGACATTGGAGAGTTTAAGTGCTAAAATTACTGAATCCAATATGGAGCCCAGAGGGCTGCAGGGTCCTCAAGCGGAAAATGAAATGTTCATAAGGCACTGTGGGTCATCAGCAGCAGAATTGCTCTCCAACACAATCTGCAACCTCATTGCCCTCACCAACAAGCAGTGCGATTTAACCTGGTCTGTTGAAAAGTGCAGAAGGATACACCTAAAAATGAGCAGTCAACCTGTTGAAGCCACGCAGGAATACTTGCATGCCAAACAGCAAGTGACAGACAGGGGCAAGTGATTCCATGACAAATGGATCAGATCTAGGTTCTGCAGCCCCACTACACCTTTTCATGAATGGTAGTGGACAATTAAATAACTCACTGGAAGAGAAGGAATCAATGATAGGAGAGCCCAGCCCAGTACAAAAGATAAAACTGAAGTATTTTCAGCAATGTTCACCTAGAATTGTCCAGTGGATAATTCATTTCTGCCTCCTCCAGAGATCGCCAGCATGATGGGAAGCCAGTCTTCATCCAATTCAATTCACTTTGTGATATCAAGACATGTATGGGTGTACAGGATACTGCAAAGGCTATGGGCCTTGATAATATTCTGGCAATAGTACTGAAGACCTGTGTTCCAGATGTTGCTGTGCCCCCAGCTGAGCTGTTCCAACACATTGGTGGGCAGATACCAATGTGAAGAATTGCCTAAAGGGTGTCTTGTGTACAAAAAGCAGGACAAATCCAACCCAATTACTGTGTTATTCAACTCTTAATTATCAGTAAAGTGATGGAAGGGTAATGACCATTGCTATCAAACAGCACTTGCTTAGCAATAAATCTGCTCACTGACATTTAGGTTAGATTGTACCAGGGCCACTCAGCTCCTGACCTCATTTACAGCTTTAGTTCAAACATGCGGAACAGTGGTGAACTCCAGAGGCAAGGAGAGAGTGACTGCTTTCAGCACCATTAAAACCAAGACTTGTTGACCTTCTCGCACAGGGAAGATAAAATATACTCCATGGTCTTCCATTATGATGTAGTCAATGTATACTAAATCTTGTGCTGTCAATTCATTGAGACTTACAGTAGTAAATCCACCAACAGCCACCCACCCCCCACCCCTACTGTCCCACAATTCAGAGGGAACGAGTAAACCTCTCATTGCAAAATACAAAGAGAACTCAGGTCACAAAATCATGAAATAATATTTCTTTATTAAGACATTAGGAAAACAACTGGTAGCATCTTAATGTTAAACAGTAACAGCATACAAGATAGTCAAATAACCATTAGCTAATTGAGTCAAAGCTACAATAGCTGTTCCAAGTCATCATCAACAGTAAACAAAATCTGTTTATCAGAAGCTGCTATTGTGTTCAATACCCAAAATTAACAAGTACAGGATATACAACATCCACCCTTTAACTTCTTCCTTCTCAATGTCCAATGCTCCAGAAACTCCTTCCAGTTGTCTTTCTTTCGATTCAGTATAACTGAAATCTCTGCCTAGTGTGATTTTCTCCACAGTGGGAAGATCAAATATCGATCAAGTGACTAATTTGTGGGACATCTCCATTTTTGTGCAAGATCTCATGTTTCTAGTTACCTGTCATTTTTGTTCCATCTTCTGAATCCACACACTATGAACCTGCATGGGCCCAAGCTATGCGTGCCTCTTCGTAGGATACATGGAACAGTCCCTCTTCCACTGCTACACTGGCACTATACCCCACCTCTTCCTCCGCTATATTAATTACCGTATCGGTGCTGCCTCGAGCTCCCATGAGGAGCTTGAACAGTTCATCAACTTTACTAACACCTTTCACCCCAACCTCAAGTTCACCTGGACCATCTCTGATACCTCTCGCCCCTTTCTGGACCTCTCTGTCTCCATCTCTGGTGACCGCCTCAAAACCGACATCTATTTCAAGCCGACTCAGACAGCTACCTAGACTACACCTCCTCTCACCTACCTTCCTGCAAGAATGCGATCCCCTACTCCCAATTCCTCTGCCTCCATCACATCTGCTCCCAAGATGGGGCGTTCCATTCCCAAACATCCCAGATGTCCCCTTATTCCAAGGGCTGCAGCTTCCCCCACCACCTCTGCGGTTGAAAATGCTCTCAATCGCATCTCTTGTGTTTCCTGTACCTCTGCCCTCACATTCTCTCCCTGCAATAAAAACAAAGACAGAATCGCCCTTGTCCTCACATATCACCCCACTAACCTCCTCATCTAATGTATCATTCTCCACCATTTCCGCCACCTACAATCTGACCCCACAACCAACGATATATTTCCCTCCCCAACCCTATCTGGTTTCGTAGGGATCGCTCACTCCACGGCTCCCTCGTCTGTTCCACATCCCCCAGTAGCCCACCACCCCCGGCATTTTTCCCTGCAATTGCAGGAAGTGCTACACCTGCCCCTGCACCTCCCCTCTCACCTCCATTCAAGACACAAAACAAACCTTTAACATTAGACAAGGGTTCATCTGAACATCTGTCAACGTGGTCTACTGCATCCCCTGCTCCCGATGTGGCCTCCTCTACAGCAGTGAGACGAAGCAGAGGCTCAGAGACCGCTTTGTAGAGCATCTGCGCTCTGTTCACGATAAACAACACCACCTTCCAGTTGCGAACCGTTTCAACTCCCCCTCCCCCTCCCCCAGTGACATGTCCATCCTTGGCCTCCTTCAGTGTCACAATAACACCTGGAAAATGAAGGAGAAGCACCTCATATTCCACCTTGGGAGCCTACAGCCCAATGGCCTAATTGTGGATTTTACCAGTTTCAAAATCTCCCCACCCCCGGCCTCATCCCATGACCAACCCTCCCTCTCATCCCCATCTCATTGACTTGACAACCTGTCCGTCCCACCTCACAGACCAATCCCCACCTGCATTCACCTATCACCATCCCACCTACCTTCCCCTACCCCAGCCTCCTCCCTCTATTTATTTCTGAGCTCCCTTCCTCCTCCCCCATTTCTGAAGAAGGGTCCCAACCTGAAATGTCAGCTTTCCTGCTTGGCCTGCTATGTTCCTCCAGCTCCACATTTATCTCTGGTTAGACTACCTAGAGATTCTAATTTGCTTTCTTTATATGTGCCATTATCAAATATTTTTCCCTACACTACTATCATTCATTTTGATCTCTCCTCCCTTCTACTCTATCACAGGCCTTTGTTTTTAAACAGTTACACTACAAAACACTCCCAGTTTGGAGAATGAATTCTCAATTTGCAGTGTTAGCTGTTCTTTATTTCATAAAGTGGTGCCACAGCAGCTGGCCTTTCATCTTCTTCAGTCATCTATTCTCAAGATTGTCGAAAACCTCAGTTATAAAAGCATTTTCTTAAAAAAATACACAGTTGGGTCAATCATATTTCTTATTATGCACATAGTTATATAGAATTGTACAATACAGAAAGTGAAGTGAAAATCAAAATGAAAATCTGTTAACAGATTTCTTTCATTGTAAAGAAGCATTCTCAAATGCATATTACAAGATACATTTTGCTGACTTAACCTTGTCAAGTCTGAGCACAATATCAGAGATGATGGTTGGCATGTACGAAAGAGGAATCCAGAACAGTTTTGCATCTCGTCCAGCTGAGTAGCGAGTGCGAGGGTGAACAGATGTCAGAGCATGATTCATGCACCACACCACTTTCATCAAATTTGGGTCTGCAAGCTTTGCAAGCCTCGTCTTAAGTTTATGTTTGACTGCAAAATACAAGTAGTTATTAAAATTAATTAACATCACCTTAATTAAAGCAAGCTACAATATGACTGATTTGAAAGACTACAGGACGTACATAGAAAGCACACATAGACAGGGTTGATTTAAAATATTTTACCCCCAGATAATCAAACTTTAGATCAAGGTTTCTGCTAAGCAGTGAAGTTTCCGCTCTGCAAATTTTCAAAAGACAGCTGAGGACAACTGGTAAAGCAGAAATAATGACTGATGGAAGGTAGATGAAATATCCAGAATTATAATCATGGTAAACCTAAATTAATATAACTGGTCATAGAATGGAGGAGAGTGTCCCAGATTTTTACCTTACTTGGTCTAGCATTGTATCTGAGAAGTCTACATGGGCGCTGAAATATTGAGTGGTTCTAATCCTGTGCAGTTCAGCCTGACATTGGCCAGGTGACCTTCGCCTATTATTTTAATATGCTGTCATGCATAAATTTGAAACGCACGAATAGTGAAGATTAAATTTTGAATACTGAATGCTCCAGGCTCTGAAAACTCTTTAAAAGGGGTCAAATGATACGGAGCTGTATAGAAATCCACAAAAATTGTCCACTAATGGCAGGCTATAACTAAATCATTAAAACAAAGATACATTGTCAGCACAGAGGGTTTAAAAATAAAGTAAAAAGCCAGTAATGCTTAGAAATGAATGTACAGATTGTATGTTCTGAAGAATACAAGATACGTCAGATCAATATGTCTCATTTACCAGTTTTATTGGCTTTTCCTTCAGAGTGGGTAATTCAGTTGCTTAGTTAACAGTAAGACGACCAATGGTGGAGTGATGCAGGTGTAAAATTGGGTAGTTTGGTGGTAACATGATTTTGGAGCTGCCTGTTTTTTTTAAATGAAACTCAAAAGCAGGCTTTTAAATTCTAGCTATTTTAAGAGACACAAAAATGGCAGTGCTTTAAAAAGCTTGCTTCAGCATATATAAAAGACAATGGGCCTTTGAGAAGGAAATTAGTCCAAGTCAAAAGAAAGCACTCTGAATGGCAAGATCCCAAAAATGCAAACAGCGATAAAGAAGGTTCAAAAAGAACATCTGGACGATTTGTAACAAAACACAGAAGAACTGATGAAATTGTAACTTAAAAGCTTTTAAAAATCACAACATTTAGTTAATTCTAGACTCATTAAAGAATGTGTTCAGCCACGAAAACAGCAGCTAAAGCTATCTTGCAGAAATTAGCTGTCTCTTTGAAACCATTTACAATATTAATACGTTCTAGTCAAAGATTCTTTAAATAATCACAGATAGATTTAAAACTTTATAATGAAAGAACTAAGGGAAACCATTAAAGAGATGCCTGGCATATCTTGTCTGATTAGCTAAAAAAGTATCGAAATTATAATTATTATTAATATTGCACATTTTTAATAGTAATCAACTTTTTATAAAGAAAGGGGTAATGGAATTTGATAAGAGATAGCCAGTACAATGGACAACAGAATTCAAACAATCCTTAGAGAAAAACAATGAGGTCATTACCAAAAGGAGGACAGCCAGTAACTTATGAATGCAACATAGAAAGATCCCAAGGCCTAGAGATTGCAGTAATTGTTAATCATAAAAAAAAATTAGAACCTAGAGAGTTGTCTGTAGGAATGCTCATCATTGATCAGGTGGTTTACATGATTGGTCCCACAGAAGGGGAGGGTACAGTAACCACGCTGTGTATGATTATTGTAACACAACGTATAAAAATACTGCTCTTCACTGTAAAATCAGTGTGTCATTGATCGCTCTTCTGATCTGAGCTGAAGATTAAGGGGATAACAGCATCATGTCGAAACCAGATTTAGAGAAGATCCTTTGGCCCTCTCCTTGTGCTAACCAGTTTTTGCTTGAAATAAAGTTCACTACGTGCCTGCATCCTATCTGCCTCTTGAATCTTTGTCTCCAGTTGGGGAAATCTCAATCCTACAGATTGGCGTAATCAGCAGGATCCTCCACCTGAAGCCGGCATACCTTGGGCCAAGATTTGGGAGAATGTTTATTTACCATGCTGTTGGGTAGCATGGTACTTTGTGTGTGAGAAGCTTGTAGTCCACTGGCCTGCAAGTACTTTATCAGCAGTGGAGTTTGTCCACACATATGGCAAGGGCCCAGCCCGTCACCTGCTCCCTGCAATGACTTCCAGCCTGGCCCCAGTGAAATACCTTCACTCACTTTTTAAAGCTATCTCCAGCAACAATGGTCACTGGGAACTAATGCTCATAGTGGCACTGCTGGGATTTGAGAGCTTCTAGCTATTTGATTGGCCAGCAGCTGAGGCAGCACTGTCTCCTAGTGGAGACATAAATCACGCCACGAGCCAGTTAATGGTCTATCTATTCATGCAGCGGTCAGCTCATCTCTGAATTTTAACCTGGGAATCCAGCTCTACATGTAATATCCTATCCAAAAGGTTTCCAGAGATCAAAATTTATTAAAAAATCTATAATAATTACAAGAGTAATAATGCAGACCATAATGTTGAGAAATAAAATCTATAAATTTATTTTGCATTCTAATGTTGCACTCTGTTTTGCCAGTATCCACAACAATGTCCCAAATACATTTTTGGTATTTTTCAGAAATCTTTCCAAGTTTTATATTGATATTATATGTTGCAGATTGAGACCTGGACTTGGACAGGTGGTGTTTAATTAATGTCAATGTGACAACATGGGATCAGGGTGTCCGATACCCAAATTGGAGCAGAAGTGCCGTGGTGGTCACCTGATGTTAGAACTGGGAAAAACTATTATGTCAGATCAAAGGAAACTTTATCCTGCATCTAATACTTGATCTGAGTCCTAGATGCCCATATGGAGTGATTGAAATAGAATGTCACAGCCCTCTATACGCACACTGAATTACTTTAAAAGTTTATTCACAAAAATTATTAAAAAAAGTTCTCATCAAGGTTAGTTACGGTACTGTGGCTGTGCCAATTTAAACTGGAAAAAACACGTAGATAAACAAATTTAAAATCTCAAATATATTTGCATTTTCTAAAATATGCTGCTTCCTACATATGAAATGCAGCTAAGGGAAAAGAATTTTCATCTGATTTTAAGATTGGGTACTTAGGCAATATTTTCTGCCTGTATCATAGATTTACAGTTCAAAAGCAATTAGAAGTATCTGTAGTTTACACTTAGAACAACTTACCTTTATCTAGATAATCAGCTCCATAGTCATCTTTTACATCCTGTGGTAACCTGAACCAGATTTTTTTAAAGTTGTCAGTTATTAAATCTAAATTGGTCATATTCGTTTTGAAGAAGCCTGGCTCAATACAAAGAACTTTTACTCCAAATTCACTCAAGTCCCTCCTGGAAAAAAAAAGAATTGATTTGTTACAGCTTTTAACAAATCACAAAACAAAAAAAGAATAGTATAATTGTTTTTATTTTAATCCAATTCATAATGGTGATGGAGGAATGTTTGTACTGCTTCCAATTGCAATACTTTTCATGCCCATGAAGGAACACATACAACTTTCTGCACACCAATTTATACAGCTGAGGTGACTCTATACTTGTATGAGCAAGTATAGAAGGGAGCAGGAATCATTAACATGAAGTTACATCTAAGTAACATAGCCTATTATGTTTACTTACAAAATTCCATGTATCCTGCCTTTACTAAGACAAAGTCATTAATATACCTAATAAGAAAGATCAAAATAGCATCTTTTCCCTGGGGTGGGGGAGTCCAAGACTAAAGGTCATAGGTTTAGGGAGAGAGGGGGTTGGGGGAGGGGGGGGGGGGGGGGGGGGGGGGGGGGGGGAGGTGAGATTTAAAAGGGACCTAACAGGCAACTTTTTCCATGCAGAGGATGGTGCGTACATGGAATGAGCTGTCACAGGAAGTGGTAGAAGCTGGTACAATTACAACCTTTAAAAGGCATCTGGATGGCTATATGAATAGGAAGGATTAGAAGGTTATGGGCCAAATGGGACCAGATTTATTTAGGTTAGAATGGAAAGGTTGGACTGAAGGGTCTGTTTCCATGCTCTACAGTTCTATGACTCTAAGCAGCATCTACAACATACACTGCAGCAACTTGCCAAGGCTTTTTCCATGACATCTTTCAAACCTGCAACAAGCAGTTGAAGAAGGTGACTTACCATTACCTTCCCAAGGCCATTAAAAATGAGCAATAAACATCATTATCCCATGGACAAAAAAAAATCCCTCTACACCGATAATGCACTTGATTAACATTATAAAGTAAGCATCAAGTCAACAAATGTTATTCTGACTTACTTTGTTATTTGATTATAAAATTGAAGATACTAGAACATAGCAAATATTAATGGCCAATTCTGCAATTTCTAACTCACCTGAGACCATCATTGAAGGCTTCAACACCGTACTTCGAGATGCAGTAAGGTCCACCCATACAACTGATCTTACCAAATATACTTGCTACATTGACTATTCTACCTCGCGCTCTCTTTATCAGTGGAAGCACACTCAATGTAACTTCAATTAGTCCAATCAGGTTGACATTCAGTACAGCTTTGTAATCATCTATTGTTAGCCAGTCACTTGGTCCAGCAGGTAAAGAGATTCCAGCATTGTTCACCAGCCCCCATAGACCTAGAGAGAAACAAAAAAAAAAAATAAACTTCAGATTATTCCCTATTATGTGTTCCTGACAATGCTCTGTGGTTCCATTTATTTTGATGTGAGCATAATTTATGAAGTGAGAGAGGCAGGGACCATTCATAGAAAGTGACTAAATCATAAGGGATTTATTAAACCCTCTATGAAACTAAATATGATGACTTGTGACATATGCAAAATATTTAAAATTAACTAAGTTAACACTGTATGATCACTTCTTCAAAACTGCAATTGTTAATAAAAGATAATGTACAGATTTGTGTATAATATTGAACAACATTTATAAAAAAGGTACTAGATACCATTCAAGTGACCAGATTCTTACCTTTTAATTTTAAGCCTCACTTGGCACATTTAGGCTGATACTGCATTACTGGACTGAGGGTGTACAGCACTAGAGGTATCATTTTTCAGCTGATATGCTAAACCAAGGTTTATCTACCCTCTCATATACATCTGTGATACTGTTTGAAGACAGCAGTTTTATTAATGTCTCAGCCAGCTTTTATCCCTCAACCAACATCAGTAAAAGAACAGGAATTGCTGGAGAAACTCAGTAGGTCTGGCAACATCTAAAAGTGAGAAAGCAGAGTTAACATTTGGAGTCCAGTGATTTTTAAAGAGGGAAGTTGCATTGTTCAAATTGATTCTTGATTTTTTTCTACATTAAACATTGGTTACACTTGTAGGATAGAGCAAAAATCCCCATATTCTGAAAAACTGGACCAAAATCCTGGACTTTGCAAATAACTTTAAAAAAAGTGGGCTATGCTCTGGAAAAATACACAAGAGCAACTTACAACTAAATACACCCCAGAGCTATCCGCACAGTTACCTCCGAAACAGGGATCCAAGAGAATAATCTGCCCCAAGAACTATCAATGCAGCTACCCCCAGAAGAGGGATCCGAAAGAGAGCAATCTCAGCTGACAGTTATCCCCGCAGCTACCACCAGAAGGACTCCTGACAGCTAACCCTCACCACCCTCCGAGAGCAATCCCTACAGCCACTTGCAACTAATAGCGACCAAACACAACCTGCAGACCGGATAACCGACGACCTTTGAAAACCACCAACCCAATCAACAACATTTGGCCTCGGACACATTTGGAGGTTAAAACCAACTCATGAAAACGACCATAAGCTAAGAAAACCAAAGTACCCACCTGATAAATCCAAAACACGTCTTACCACATCAGCAGACTCAACCCAGACCGAAAGCCTACACCATCCAAAGTCCTCACTGAAGCATCTGCTATGGCAAGTGGGAATGGCCAGCTGTATGTCAAAATCACGTTTATCCCTAGTGGTGAGCTTATTTCTGAGACCCCAAACTATCCAACTTAGCTAGCAGGGAGGGGAAGACGGTGGAGGGAACCCCAAGGGTAGGAATACTGATTAAGGTGTCTGTGATTAAAACGGCTGTTTAGCTTCTAATTGTATTTAACCTGTGTTTAACTTAACTACACTATTAAGTACTGTCCTTTGTATAATTGATTGCATCAATTTCACTACTTTGTATTGCTTTCTGTTTCTTGCAATATACTCACCTTTTGTATTTGATAAACGCAGATTCTTTTGCCTTGAAACACCGGTCTACTGCCTTCTTCAGTTCACATTCCCTAAATAAGTCCAGTGTCAGAACCAGGGATCTGGAGGTGATTTGAACCACCTAAAAAATCAGCAGTTTTACTGATTGCAAACCAGAATCCCTACACACTTTTTGGAATATCGTGAGTTTATATGTGGAAGCTTTGCCCTTCTAAAATGTTTTTAGTATTACATACAAACCAGAAAACCATTTCGTGCTAGTCATTTAGCTAGAATTAAAGAGGCAACCTCTATTTTGTCAGCTAATTACCTTTCATCACATACCAAAGTCATTTACAAATGTGAAATGTTGATGCTCAATATAAGCTTTCATGGCCAACCCACCAAATCTTTAATGTCGCCACACTTCGATGCAATGCTAATAAATGGTGATACATTCTTGGTCTTTTATTCCCATCATATTTGATGTAATGTTTTTGGTTTGCTATCACGATGGCTGTTGTAGATGACTCAGCTTCATGAACAAATTCCTTATTATTCATTATAGGGCTGTCAAATGTCACTCTAGAGTGTGCGTCCTTGTCATTTATATCTTCCCCTGCACATATTGCATCTTGGAGGCAAACCTCAAACTGGAATTAGAATCTCTGCATCTAAGGAGACACTCTAGCAAACTATCATCTGTCTCTATGAGCACCTTCAGGCCACGGATAAAGTGTAAAGATCTCGCTGATGCTCATATGATCAAAACAGACTTCTGCTCATAATTTGCATTCACGTGACAATGCTCTAGAGGCACAACACACCAGTTTCTCATCCCCATTCTTCCTGAAAGGCATTGTTCCCATGTCTGTAGATGGTTATGACAACTGGAAAGGATGAACTGCAGCAGGCTGGAATCATTGTGGACATCAGCATGTCTTTGATCTTTTGAAAAGTATCCTCCAATATTAGCCACAACACCATCCTTGATGATGAGTTGCCTCAAGTATCCAGTCATGGTTGCCAAATGAGGCAAAGGTTTTGTTGCTTTATCAGGCTTAACATCTTTGCAGGTCATGAACCAGTTTTGGAATGGGAAGCTCCTTAACGGCCTTTGTTTTTGGTGGGCTCAGCATTTAAACTGAAAGCAAAGGTCTCTCTACCTTTTAAACTAAAAGTAAAGCCTCCTTGACAGTGTCTGCATCAAACACTCCTGGGACAGGGACACCAATACAGAGTAAACCTCTCCTGATTCTTTTATTAACATAGGAAGTTGAAAGTGAACCAGCTCCTGTTTGGGCACTGTATCAAAGTCAAACAAATTAAAAGTCAACCAGAAACTTATAAAACAAAACAGAAACTTACTAAATTAACATAGTATTGTCTGGGTTGATGGAGTCTCAAAAGGCTTCCACCATGCCAGTGAGCATCGCGTGCTCCAGCATTATTCTATCCTTGTTAACATTGTGGGCAAAGAAGCAAATAGACCCCTTGGAAAATTCACACTTACAGTGGAGGGTATGCCCTTTTGACTGTAGATGTTTTAGAACTGCATGGATCCTCTGGTAGTGTTCCTTGACAGCCTCATGTATCAATATGTTGTTATCTATGTGGCATGATGCCCAAGTCTTCTAAAATGTTGGACATAATCAAATGGAAGAATTTTAGGGCTGATGAATCCCAAATGGCGGTCTGTTGAAGTAAAATCTTCCAAATGGTATGATAAAGTAGTAAGCAGGCTTGATTGCTTGTCTAATAGCACTGACCAGAATCTACTGCTCATGCTTAGTTTAGTGAAAACTCTTTTAGACACTGAACAGTCTACTGTGGACATGGTGCAGATTTCCCTCACTACTGCCTTATTGAGCTGTGTTAAGTCAATGTATATTCTGATGGCATTGGATTTGTGAATCATAGCCATGCCAGAACACCTGTCAGTTGGTTTTATAGTAGGGAAATGATACCCTTTCTGGTGACTTCAAGTTGCTTCTGAACTTTGTAGCTGGACCGAATTGCATGCTGGTAAAAGTGATCGGCTCTGACGAGTCAACTGACTCTAAGCAACTATGGGCATAACCCTAACCCTACTGCAGGCTCAACAGAAGACAACTAAATGAACCGAAGTAACAAGGTCTTGTCTGATGAGATAAACACCAGCAGATAACCTAATCAACTAGAATAACGAGATTGTGTCTGCTGAAATGACACGATTTGGTGGCTTCTTAGCTGCAAGGATGCAGACACCTTGTTGAAAAAGAAAGAGTATAAATATACTGGTGAATAAACACTGGAGATACAACCTGGGAATGACCATTGAAAGAAGGAAGAAGAACTCAGAGCTTGAAACTCCAAAGACTGTGGGCTTGAGACCAGACACTGCAACACTGGAAGTTGACCCCTGTTAGCAGCTGACTACCAAGACTCTGATTTGATTCACTGATTTTACATGGGAAGATCAGTTTTGCTTATTTTTAAGAGACTAGATTGTCATACTTTAAAACAGGAGATAGCCACTTGCATTTTGCCTAATGAAGATTGATTTTGATTGAATAAATTCAGTGAGAGTTTTTGTTCAAATAGACTAGTGTTGCTTCAATGAATAACCTGATTCATTAAAATAGATATAGAATGTTCCTGAACAAGTAACAATTTAACATCTTTCCTTAATGAGATGCTGCATTCAGTATTGTTTCCCTGGTCCTGCGATGATTTAAGATAATCCTTCTCAAAAGAAACATTTGACCCGTCTCTGATATTACATCTTACAGGTCATATCCTTCTCTTGCCATGTCTTCCTAATGTGATTATTTGTTCTTACTTCAGAATTACAAGTTTTAAAGTAACTAACGTACTATAGGAAGGGTCACCCGTCCTGAAGCGTTAATTGATTTTGCTTCACAGATGCTGCCAAACCATACTGAGCTTCTCCAGCAACTGCTGTTTTTGTCAATGCACCATAACGTCTTTCCCTTAAAGATTTTTACTATTTTAAATGGCAATATTTTCCTTGTCTTAAGCTTTTAAACTGAGGAGTATATTTGAATTCTTTCCTTTCCTTGAAAGCTTTTAATACACAACGTGAGATGCTATTTTGTTGCACTAGCTCTGGGAGGTTTCCCACATTTTTCTGGTCAAAACGGAGTTTACACCTGCTTACAAACAAATTAGATGATTGCCCTGGACTAATATATAATGCACATCCTTTTCCGAGCTTTCTCCAAAAAGCCTTGTGCCTGCAGCTTTAACAAATTTTTCCTGTTTGAACCACGATTTAAATCATGAATCTCTTTCACTTATTCCTGTCCCAAAATTTTTCTAACTTCTGTTATAATCTGTCCATTTTAGCTTTTGTCACTTTCACTCTGCTGTGTGATATTACCAGTGCTGCAACTTCGGTGTATTTCTAGGGCCCTTGATATCCCTACTGTAGCCATGCTTTGTGATGCCTAATCACCGTGATGAAAACACTAACCTTTAAGTACTCTTGTTTTTACTTTGAGCCTTCTCCGCTGGTTTTTCTGCACTGTTAGAAGTTTTTTCCCCTTCCCCAATAGGGATTTTTTAAACTTTACTCAATTGCAGCAAGTTCACTTCTCAGTTGAGCCTCCAACTGGGAATGGTCGTACTGACCCTGGCTTCCCGATGGAATCTGTAACCGTCACTTGTGACTAATCGTTATGTTCTTTCCTCCGCACACCATTTCACCTGTGATTTTTGCAAGGCCTGAAGTAAAAATTTTAAGCCTGTAATGCTACTTACTCCTGATTGGTGTTTCTGCGAATTCCTTCTGACTGCTTATAGATAACAGTGTGGAGCTGGAGGAGCACAGCAGGCCAGGCAGCAAATCAAAGGAACAGGAAATTTGACGTTTCGGATCAGGATCCTTCTTCAGAAATTTCTGCCATTTCAGAAGAAGGATCCTGACCTGAAACTTCAACTTTTCTGCTCCTCTGATGCTGCCTGGCCTGCTGTGCTCCTCCAGCTCCACACTTATCTGACTCCAGCATCGGCAGTTCTTCCTATCTTCTTCGGACTACTTGTAGCTGTTCTTAAAAATGGCAATGTCTTTAAAGCTGCAAACTCACTTAGTCTTGGTCTCCTGTGGATATTTTCACCATTGTATTTTGTAGTATTAAGCAATAAAAATATCCAACGTTGATCACCATGGGGTATTTGTGGGTGGAAGGATATGCCAACAATTCTCTTTCTTTGACCAGGTCCAAGGGACTTTGTAGCAGTAGAGGAATAGCCATTAGTGAATTTTAACAAGAGGCTCTTTTCTTAGGAAGATGTGGTTTTACATTTTTAAACAACCTGTTCAGATATGTTAGGACACTCTTCTGGAGCAGGTGGGACTGTAGTCAAGCCTTCTAGTTCAGAGACAGGAACACTACCAGTGATACAAGAGGCCACAGATGTGACTTTCTTGCATAACAGCAATTCAGTAAAGGTTCGATTACTTTCCTAGTCAGAAACACAGATATAGACGATATATCTGAACCTTTGAGATCCAAAGTTATTCTCCTGATTTCACCCCCCTTTCCCCCCAAAACAGTGTAGAAACACTACCACTGTGCCACAAGAACCTTCCATTTCTTTCTCTTGCTCTGGATTTTTCAAAAACTTCAGTGACTACCATTAGCTGATAAACTGATTTATAAAATCAGTACTCAGCAGACAAATAACATTTTCTATATGGCAGATGAGGCACAAGCCAATCTTTAAATTACCTTTTTCCTTGACCTCAGACTTTACAAATTCTGCAGCTTTGATGATGCTTTCAGAGTTAACAATGTCCAGCTGGAAAGTTTTGAGTCTTGATGATGTGCACTCTTTCAATTCTTCAGCCCCCTTCTCAGTAAAGCAGGCAGCTAGCACATGGAATCCTTGTTCATCCAAATGTTTGGCTAGTAGATTGCCAAAGCCAGAGTCACAGCCAGTAATGTATACATACTTGTCAGATACATTCTTTATACACTGACTATCTCTGTAGCGGTAGTATAGGACATAAAGCAGCACACATATAATCAGGTATTGAAGCATTTCTGAACTGTGGAAAAAAAACAAGAAAGAATTTTTAAAATAGTATTTATATTCTAAAAAAATGTTGCTTTTGTGAAGTCACTAATGTTTCTCCAGAGGATTCACCATTGCAGCAGACCATGACTTGGTTGGGAGTGGGATATTGAAAAGTTGGTGGAAGCTTTTTGTAAGATTGTGGTCTGAAACAGAAATGCATATGGATACTGCCAAATGGAGTAAAGAGTCAGGAAAGTATGAAATGCTTCTACCAGCATGGAAACCTGCTTAACACAAGCACAAATGATTGCAGAAAAGGTTCAGAGGTTTGCTGGCAGTATGCTGACAAATTTAATGGAGTTATTTGAAGATATATTGTTGGCAAGAAGATTTCAGTAGTTGTACTATTTCTTGATTTTCTTAGACATTTGAAAGAGCTTAAGTTTAAGGCATTGAAAGAGGAAAGCTTTTAAATTGGATTCAGTTTGAAAACAATAAAGGGGAGCTATTGAAAGAATCTGCATTAAAAAAGGTGGCTAGACACAGGGATTGATTGTTAGTTCTGTGAATAAATATTAATAACAACATTAAGGTAGTAATTGTAAGTATACAAGAGAGGCTAGTGTGGTAGGCAATATTGCTACTACTTCTATTTTGCATTTGTCAATTTTGACATTTGTTTTTTGCCATATCATTCAAAGGAATTTATTTACAAATTATTCTATCCAGAGTCTGGATTGGTGCTCATGTCCCGAGCTGCTCTGCTGACAGTAAAATGATTATCTCAGAATTTCATCTCCAGAATTACTTATGCTTATGACATTCCCAAGAGAATCCAAAGTTATTCTGAAGTCTGCTCTTTTGGTGAGGCAAGGCTCTTCTACATACATCTCAATAGATACCCCCATATTGCACATGGGACTGCAGTTCTGTGAAATCATCAAGAAGCATTGCCCAGATTTTTCCAGAATCTTGTTTTGCTTTTATATTATTTCCCAGATATTGCAGCTTGTTGGTCATCATACTTTGCAAATTGCTTTGTGCATTCTGAAACAAGTAAATAAGTTAACCATATTCAGAAGGTAGTATTTTTCATACCCAGATCCTGGATAATACAAACATTTAATTGCAGCACTTGAGGGTAGTTTGGAGTTGGCCTTTAGGACAACTGACTCCTACTGTTGTGTTACCATTCTCAATAACTCCTCTTTACTTAGACCAAGTAAGGAAGCACCAAGCAAAAGTTTATAAGCTTTGTAACCTCCCAATGGTTTCACCGTGGACTTTACCAGTTTCATAATTTCCCCACTCCCAGCCTCATCCCACGACCAACCCTCCCTCTCATCCCCACCTCTGAGCTAACAACCTGTCTGTCTTCTCTCCTACCTACCCGCTCCTCCCACTTCACCTGACCAATCCCCACCACTACCTGCCTGCACTCACCTATCACCACCCCACCTACCTTCCCCAGCCCCAGCCCCAGCCCCAGCCCCACCCCTCCTCTCAAAATGTTAGCGTTCCCTTCCCCCTTATTTCTGAAGAAGAGTCCCGACCGCTTTCTTGCTCCTCTGATGCTGCCTGGCCTGCTGTGTTCCTCCAGCTCCACACCGTTTAAACTAGTTTATCGAGTTTCTCTCTCCTTTTCACCTTCACTACAGATCTCCACACTCCCAGAAGTGACTGAATTAACTAGAAGTGATAAATTTTAATAAGGTGGTGCCCAGAAAATGTTGAGACACCCACACAGTGAGGGGAAATTCATTGAGAAGATGATCATAAAATCCCTACAGTGTGAAAACAGGCCTTTCGGCCCAACAAGTCCACACCAAGCCTCAGAGCACGCAACCCAGACCCACCACCCTATAACCCACCTAATCTACACATCCCTGAACACTATGGGCAATTTAGCACGGCCAACTCACCTAGCCTGCACATCTTTGAGAAGGTTGGAGTTCAGACTGCTGGCTGGGGAGCTGGCAATAGACCAGTGCTGCCTTCTGTACCAGTAATGTGTGCCAGTCAGACAGTTAAGAAGTCACCAGCGGACCTTCACAGGATCAGGGCCCTTGGGCAGGAATTTCTGACTGGCAAGAGCTGCTGACCAATTAAAAAGGTGAACAGCTCTTTTATCCAGTAAGCAACTGGGGAGGTTCTAACTGCTGCTGGAACTAGGGTGGTCAAGTGAGAACAGGCTCAATCTTGGACACAGCTGGAAAAGAAAAAAAAATCAAGACCTGACCTAAAATTGGCCAAACTAAATTAAACAGCAGCCAGAAGGTATCAGTTACAGAGAACAATGGGAACCAAGGTCAGAGGTTCAGGAGAACCAGTTAAAACCAGCCCAAGGGTTGCGTATTGGAGAAGTTTTGATCAGACTTCCAGCCAATGCCTAAGGCTGTGCACTTTGCAAGTCTCTGGCGCAGCAATGGTAAATGGCGTTAGTGCAATCCCACAAACCAAATGGTATGTCCCTTTGTCCATCTCACTGACGGGAATTTGGGTGAAGTGTTTTTAAAACAAACTGGTTGAAGTGTCCAAATCCTAGAGGTCCATAATCTTGGAGTGTCCCAAATCAGAGTGGTTTCATAGATTGAAGAATATGGGGGGGTCAAGGTGCAGACAAATCTGTAGTAAAGACAGGGGAGTGGCTCCCAGGTGCCCTTCTTCTTCTTCTTGAAGCTATGTCCCTTCATCAGGCACAGAATGCTTTTCAAAGGAACTGCTCCCCAGGTTCCACACAGCCCAGACCAGTTTGCCTGTTGTACTCAGAATCATTGAATCCCTACAGTGTGAAAACAGGCCATTTGGCCCAACAAGTCCACACCAACCCTCCCACCCAGATCCAACCCCCTAACCTTTCTCTGTAACCCAGCACTTCCCATAGCTAATCCACCTAACTTACACATCCCTGGACACTATGGACAATTTAGCATGGCCAACCTACCTAACCTGCACATCTTTGGACTGAGGGGGGAAACCGGAGCACCTGGAAAAAACCCCACGCAGACACAGGGAGAATGTGCAAGCTCCACACAGACAGTTGCCCGAGAATGGAAATGAACCCGAGTCCCTGGCGCTGTGAGGCAGCAGTGCTAATTACTAAGCCACCATGTCACCCGCATTCCTGCGTGACGATAGGCCCACTTACTGCCCAATTCATGCCAGCACCAGCAGGAAGAGGACCTTAATTGGACATTTATTTCCTTTTGGGAATCCCAATTCCTGGTGAAATGGGAATCCATTCCATAGGCCTAATCACAGATTTAAATGGGACAGAGTTGGAAAAATGGCAGGGTCCTACCTGTCTCTAATCCATTTAAGTAAATGCCTCCTTCCCTCCAAACATACCATTGGGCAGAACACAAAATGTTACCCAATATTTGTAATGTAACTTGTACTGGCAACTGGACCATCCCAGAAGTGTTAAAAAAAAGTTGAATGTGTGTTAGTTGTTGTTCAATATTAGGATAGTGTAGATAGGGAGTTGTTCCTAGAGAGTTTTGAGCTGCAGGGAGAGGCTGAATAGGCTGGGGTTGTTTTCCCTGGGGCAGAGGTTGAGAGATGACCTTAGAGAGGTTTATAAAATCATGAATGGCATAGGAAGGGTGAATAGCCATGTTCTTTTTCTCAGGATAGGGGAGTCCAAAACTGGGGGCATTGGATTAAGGCGAGGGGAGAAAGATACAAAAGGGATCTAAGGGCCAACATTCGCATGCAGAGCAAATGGGACTACATTAGTATAGGATATCTGGCCGACATGAAGGAGTTGGACCGAAGGGTCTGTTTCCGTACTGTATAACTCTATGAAAGTAACAAGTACAAGACAGCATAGATTTATAAAGTGATGTGCAAATGAAGAGAGGGTAATGCAGTGGTAATACACAGTAGTCAGAATTTGGAATGCACTGCCTGGAAATGTGGTGGATCAGATTCAGCTGAGTTATTCAACAGATCTTGGATGATTATTTGAATAGAAATAATGCACATGGGTGTGGGGAGAAAAGCAGGAGACTGGTACTAGGTAATAAAAAGCAAAAGAACTGCGGATGCTGTAAATCAGGAACAAAAACAAAGTTGCTGGAAAAGCTCAGCAGGTCTGGCAGCATCTGTGAAGGGGAAAAACAGTTAACGTTTCGGGTCCGGTGACCCTTCCTCAGAACTCAGTTTGGACCCGAAATGTTAACTCTGTTTTCTCCTTCACAGATGCTGCCAGACCTGCTGAGCTTTTCCAGCAACTGTGTTTTGGTACTAGGTAACGCTTGTTTGAAAAACTGGTGCAGGCACTACAGGTTGAATGGTTTCCATCTGCACCATAATAATTCTGTGATTGAAAGGGTGTGTATTTGCCCTCTAACTGGAATAATTGGCCAATCTAACCAGAAATAACTTTATGCCTGAATAAGCAAACCTCAGCTGTAATCAGCTACAATTTACCACTGACAGGTAACTCTCAGCTGTGGTCTCATGCCATTACCCCTAATGTCAGTTATTTGCCCTCATTCTGACTAGTCCCTGGGTGAGATTTCCCAATTCATTAGGCTCAAGAGGGGATAGCCTAAACTGTCAAACTCCTAGGCGAGTAGATATGAACTGACTCTCTTTCTTTATTCACCAGCCTCCTCAGTCGTTCACAAGAAGGTCAATTTAAGAGGATCCCTAATTTGTGAATGCCTTCCCCCCCCCCACTGCCACCAAATGAAATTAAATGGGGACAATTTAACCAGGCTCTAGAGTCATACAGCACTAAAATGAGGTCCTTCAGTCCATTGAGTCTACACCAACCTAACTACACTAATCCGTTCTACAGCACTTGTCCCAAAGCCTTGAATGTTATGATATTTCGAATGCTCATCTACGTACTTTTTGAAAGGTTTTGAGGCTTCCTGACTCCACTGGCAGTGTATCCCAGATTCCCACCGGCCTCTGGGTGGGAAATGCTTTTTCACAAATCCCCACAATATTTCCTGCCCTTCAACTAAGGGGAACAGCCACTTCCTATCCACCCTGTCTGATGCATATATGCATCAATCAGGTGTCTTGTGGCACAGGGGTAGTGACCTTAGCTCTGGGCCAGAAGGCCTGTGTTCAAGATCCACCTGCTCCAGAGATGTGTAATAATATCTCTGAAATGGTTGGTTAGAAAATATTTACATCTTAATCAGGTTCCCCCCCAGTCTATCCAGCTTCTCTTCATAGCTAAAAATGCTCCTACACAGGCAACATCCTGCTGAATCTCTTCTGCACTGCCTCCCGTGCAATAATGTGGTGACCAGGCCTACACAGTTCTCCAGCTGTGGCTTAAAAGTTTTCACAGCTCCACTATGGCCTTCCTGCTCTTATAACCTATGCCACAACTGATAAAGGCAAGAGCTCTGCATGCCTTCTTAATCACCTATTAACTTGTCCTGTTACCTTCAGGAACCTGGAGACATGCACCGCAAGATCCCCCTATTCCTGAGTTTCCTAGTGTCCTGCCATTCATTAAGTAATCCCTTGACTTGTTACTTCTTGTCAAAGCCTTTGTTGAAATGTAAAAAAGCCACATCAACGGCTTTACCCCTATCTATACACCTGATCTCCTCAAAAAGTTCAGGCAGATTTGTTAGGTGTGACCTCCCTCAAAAATCCATGCTAGCTATCCCCGCTCAAACTTTGCCTCTGAGTGAAGATTAATTCTCTCCTTCAGAATTTTCTCCACTAGCTTTTTTAAAAAAACTGGCATGACATTCATTGGTCTATAATGCCTTGGTTCATCCTTTCTTGAAAAGTGGAACCACATTAGCCGCCCTCCAGTCCTCTGGCACCTCCTCTGTAGCCAGAGTAATTAAGACTTTGGGTCAGATGCCCTGCAAGTTCCTCCCTTGCCTCCAACAGCAGCTTAGGATACAACTCATCCAGACCTGGGGATTTGTCCACTTTTAAGCCTGCCAAAACCTCCAATACTTCTTCATTCTCTATGTTAATCTGCTCAAGAACCTCACAGTCCCTTTCCCTGAATTCTGTATCGATATCTTTCTTTAAAGTCCTACCAATGCCCCTTTGTCCCTACTTATCCTATTCCCTTTTAGGATACTTTTAAAATATCTTGGGATTTCTCCTAATTTTAACCACCAGATTTTTGCATGCTCTCCATTTTGCTCTTATAGTGATAGATTTAGAGATTTTACAGCATGGAAAAGACCCTTTGACCCATCAGTCTTCAAATATTCATCTATTCTAATCCCATTTTCCAGTACTTGGCCTATAACCTTGTATTCTATGGTGTTTCAAGTGCTCAGCTCAATAATTCTTAAGTGTCTTGAGGGTTCCTACCACTATCATACTTTCAGGCAGTGAGTCCCTGATACCCACAACCCTCAGTTAATGCCCCCCCAATCCCCTCTAAACCTCCTGATCCTTACCTTAAAAACAATGCCCTCTGGTTAATGACTCCTCTACCAAGGGGAAACATTCCACGATCTGCATTGTCTTTGCATCCAGAATTTTGTACCCCTCCATCAAATTCCTCACCCACTCCACCCCCAATTTTCATTGGAAATCAGGGATTCTGGCCAAAATAGAAAATGTCACTTAAAACAACTCCGCTCACTTGCCTCCAGCAAAAATGAGCTGAAATCAATTCCTATTGAATATGGCTAATAGCTAATATTCAGCTTGTGCCAAGCTAATACAGCAGGTTAATACCATAATTTGGATGTTTCCACTGTAACATTGCTCTAGTGAATAGAACAGAATATCCTTTGTCATCATGTGTACTCTACTGTAGAAGTACAGTGAAAAACTTTTACAATGTCTGCCTCTTACAGCGCCAATATAGGTACAAATGCCTAGTTCAAATTTTGGGTACAGAAGAGGAATAAATGTAGTTGCATTACTTTACAGAGTTTAAAAAATAAGTTAGAAATAAGACATCATTAAAAGATTAACATCATTGTCAAGTAAAAACTTTCAAATAAACATTACATCGTGGATTTCCAACCTCATCTACCTTCACGAGAATGGAGGACAAAGAAAAATATAAATCAGTAAAATGATTCAATCACATCAGTCTGAAACAAAAAAAGACTCTACCTGACATGCGGTTAGAGAATCCAAGTGCTGATCAACTGATTCTAGATGTTTATACCAACTACAACTGGCTTTTTCATTGGAAAATGCAGCAAGTGGAGCAGACGAGTTACAGGTGGAAGTGGACACCCTCACCAGTCCAACAGAGCTTGGGGAACACAACTTGAGTGAAGGCAAACATGTGTCCTCTCTCTGGACATATCCTGAGCAGAGGGACTCTAGGTCAGCCCACAGCAAAGCTCCAAAACAAAGCCAAGCCTCGGCCAAATGGCTAAAATCTTCAGGATTCGTGATTGCAAGCCATTCTAGTTGTGGTTGGTATGCACCCTGGAGAGAGCTAAAGAGTCCCACCAGACCCAAACGGTGTAAGAGAATTCACAGGCCCGTATTCAGGCGAGTGCATATGCTAGAAAGTCCGCCTACGTCTGCTTTGGATAGTTAAATTGCTTAGCAACGTCCAAATCCGAACCAAAAATAAACGTCTGCTTCAAATAGTCACCAGTTCTAATGGAGGTCAAACAGCGCGGCCGTTTCAATGACTGCAGAACCAGCCTTTAACAAAATTTCCTCTGACGCAGTGGGGAAAGACCACCCTTTCAGCTCTTTCTGCCGAGGTTTAATAGGGATCCGTTCCGTTTATCTCCCTTCCCCCTACCTCATCCCAAAACCAGCCCAGCTCGTCCCCGCCTCCCTAACCTGTTCTTCCTCCCACCTATCCCCCATCTCCTACCGACTAACCTCATCCCGCCGCCTTGACCTGTCCGTCCTCCCTGAACTGACCTATCCCCTCCCTAACTCCCCACCTACACTCACCTTTACTGGCTCCATCCCTCCCCCCCCACCTCGACCTGTCTGTCTCCTCTCCTCTATCCATCTTCTATCCGCCTCCCCCCCTCTCCCTATTTATTTCAGAACCCCCTTCCCCTCCCCCATTTCTGAAGAAGGGTCTAGGCCCGAAACGTCAGCCTTTCTGCTCCTATGATGCTGCTTGGCCCGCTGTGTTCATCCAGCCCTGCAGGCTTTACCTTAATTCTCCCTGAATATTTTTGCAATAAATAGTTAAGCGTATTGTGCAGACAGTGGATGTTAATTCAAAGCATAGATCGTACCTCCAAGAGTTAAACCAGAGTGTTGTCCAACTTGGTGTTCCGTTTTTAAGCAACTGGAACCTCAACGAACTTTTACAGAGTTCGAGACTTCCGGAGAACTGGGATAGCTCCCAGCAGAACGCACAGAGTCTCAGAGAAACATCGTCCTCCCCCAGAATTAATCAACAAATCAGATCATAGTTCCATATATTGATTTAAGGAATCTAATGTGTAATTTCACTACTTAAACATACAGACTATTAGAATACTTTTCTCCAGTTTTCTTTTAGTGCTTGGTAAAGTTAACAGAATGTGAGAATTCCCGATTCGGGAGGAGGTAACTGGCCAAAAACATTGAAAGTGGATTTGGGAGAGGGGCCTTGATTTGTGAAATGGCGAAAACCGACATTATTATTTCTCTGACATTACGTGTAATTTCAACGTTTAGTGCGGTGCGGATTGGCGGAAATCCTGACATAACGGTCCGTCACTCAGTGCTCTGCAAAAGGCTGTGCGCTGGACATATCAGCCTCTTCGTGGATTATTCAGTTGAAATCAGCTGACGTTTGGCAAAACTTCTTCCTTTTAAATCACTAACCGCCCCTGCCATTAAAAACTCAGAGGTTTAACTGAGTTTTGAGGACAATGTGATTAACAATAACAGATCGTAACTGGAAAACATAACTTTGTCTGAAGCTTTACTGTCTCCATTTAAGGTCAATTACTATTTTTTTAAATAGAACAAATCCTTTTCAGTTATAGATTTAAAACGTTTTTCATGATATTTCAACATCTACTTTCACCTAAACTATATGCTCCAATCTTAAATAACAAGGTGTAGAACTGGATGAACCCAGTAGGCCAAGCAGCATCAGAGGAGCAAGAAAGCTACCTACTATCTCTGCTCTAATCTTAACTTTGGAAAGTAGGAATGGGAGGGGGCCATTCAATGAAATCATGGCTAATCTATGGCCTGACTACATACACCTGTCTTTGGCCTATTATCCCTCAATATCTTCGCTTAACACAAATTTATCTATCTGAGGTTTGAAGTTAACGGATCCATCACTGCCGGGGTTTGTGGAAGAGAGCACCAAACATCCACTACCCTTTTAAGTATAGAATTGCCTCCTAATATCTCTCCTGCACAACCTGACCCTAATTCTCAGACTATGCCCCCTAATTCTAGAATCCCCAATCAGTAGACACAGTATATCTATCCTGTCCTTTCCTGCTAATATCTTGAAGACTTTGATCAGATCACCCCTTGATATTTCTAAATTTTAGAGAAAAAAACGACCTGATAATCTCTCTTAATAACCCCTGAAGTCCAGGTATCATTTTGCTGTGTATAATTTTTTTCTATAAGATAACTTGATGTTTGGTGTTTTTATTTCTTGATTGAATTGAGAAGTCAATGTGTGATATATCCAAATTTGTTGATGATACAAAGCTAAGTGAGAAAGTTAGCTGTAAGGAAAAGAAATGAAGCTAGAAAGGGATGCAGACTGATTAAGTGAGTGGTTAACAATATAGTAGGTTTAGGAAACCTATAGAAATGTGACAATTTCCAACTTTGAATGAAAAAGAAAAGCAGACATATTTCTCATAATGAGGGGCTGGGAGGGACCAAGAGACTGAAATATACTTACACCTCTTTTTATTCACTCATGGGATGTGGGCCTTGCTGGCTGGCCAGCATTTATTGCCAGGCCTTAGTTACACTTGAGAAGGTAGTGGTGAGCTGGCTTCTTGAACTGCTGCTATCTATGTGCTGCAGGTAAACCCATAATGACTTTAGGGAGGGAATTCCAGGATTTTGATCAGGTTCTAGTAAAGGAACAGGGATATATTTCCAAGTCAGGATGGTGAGTGGATTGGAGGGGAACTTGAAGGTGGTGGTATTCCCATGCATCTGCTGTTCTTGTCCTTTTACATGGAAATAGTTGTGGGTTTGGAAGGTGCTGTCTGAGGATCTTTGAATTTCTGTGATGCATCGTGCAGACAGTAAACACTGTTGCTACTGAGCATCAGTGATGGAGAAAGTGGGTATCGTGGGTGTGGTGCCAATCAAGCAGACTGCTTTGTCCTGGATGGTGTCAAGCTTCTTGAGTGTTGGAGCTGTATCCATCCACGCAAATGGGGAGTATTCTATCGTGGTCCTGACTTGTGCTGTGTACATGTTGGAGGATTGGGGAGGATCAAGACATGAGTTATTTGCCACAGTACTCCTAGCCTCTGACCTGCTCTTTAGCCACTGTATTTATAAGGTGAGTCCAGTTGAGTTTCTGACCAATGTAACCCCAAGATGTTGACACTGGGGATTCAGTGATGGTAACACCATTGAATGTCAAGGGACAGACAGATTGTCTCCGTCTCTGTCTCTTATTGGAGATGGTGACTGTCTGACATTGTGAATGTTACTTGCCAATTGTTAGCCCAGCCTGGATATTGTCTAGATTTTGTTGCATTTGGACATGGACTGCTTCAGTATCTGAGGAGTTGTGAATAGTGATGAACATTGTGCAATCATTGGTTAACGTCCCCAGTTCTCAACTTATGATGCCATTAACGAAGCAACTGAAGATGGTTGGGCCTAGGCCACTACCCTTAGAAACTCCTGCAGAGATGTCCTGGATCTGTGATAACAGACTTCCAACAGCCACAACCGTCTTCCTATGTGCCAGGCATGGTTCCAAACAATGGAGAGTTTTCCCTATTGATTCCTGCTTTGCTAGGGCTCTGTGTTGCCACACTCAGTTGAATGTGGCTTTGATGTCAAGGGCTGTCACTCTCGCCTCACCTCACCCCTGGAATTCAGCTCTTTTTAGTCCATGGTTTGAACCAAGGCTGCAATGAGGTCAGGAGCTGAGTGTCCCTGGAGGAACCCAAACTGGGCAACACTGAGCAAGTGCTGCTTGAAAGCATTGTTGATAACATTTTATATCACTTTACTGACGATCAAGAGTAGACTTTTGTGGCAATTTGCTGGCGTGGACTTGTTCAGCTTCTAGTGTGCATAATATACATGGGCAATTTCCATATTGTTGGGTAGATGCCAGGGTTGTAATGGAAAAGGTTGACTGGAGGACTGACATGTTCTGGAGCACAAGCCTTCAGTACTATTGCTAGAATGTTGTCAGGGCCCAAAGTCTTTGTAGTATCCAGTGCCTATAACCATTTCTTGATATCACATCACATGGAGTGAATCGAATTGGCTGAAGACTGGTATCTGTGATGCTAGGGACCACTGGAGGAGACTGAGATGGATCATCAATTTGGCACTTTTGTCTGAAGATTACTGTAAATGTTTCAGCCTTATCTTTTGCACTGATGTGCTGGGCTCTTCCACCGTTGAGAATGGGGATGTTGTGGAGCCTCCTCCTCCAGTGAGTTGTTTTAACAGTCCACCACCATTCATGACTGAATGTGGCAAGAGTGCAGAGCTTAGATCTGATCTTTTGATTGAGATCCCTTAGCTTTGTCTATTACTTGATGCTTATGCTGTTTGGTATGCAACTAGTCCTGTCGGATAACGTCACCAAGTTGACACCTCATCTTTAGGTATGCCTGGTGCTGCTCCTGACATGCCCTCCTACACTCTCCATTGAACCAAGGTTGATCCCATGGCTTGATGGTAACGGTTGAGTGGGGGATATGCCAGGCCATGAGGTTACAGATTGTGCTGGAGTACAATTCTGATGCAATTGATGCCTCACAGACCCTCATGGATGCCCAGTCTTGATTTGCTAGATCTGTGCGAAGTCTGTCCCATCTAGCACAGTGATAGTGCCATGCAACACAATGGAGAGTATTCTCAATATGAGGGTGGTCCTTCGTCTCCACAAGGACTGTGCTAGTCATTCTTATCGATACTGTCATGGACAGATGCATCTGCAGCTGACAGATTGGTAATGATGAGGTCAAGAATGTTTCTCCCCTCTTGTTGTTCCCTCACCACCTGCCACAGACCCAGAACAGCATGATCAGTAGTGCTGCTGCTGCTCAGCCACTCCTGGTGGTGGACACTGAAATCCCCCACCCAGAGTACACTTTGTGCCTTTTCCATTCTCAGTGCTTCCCTGAATTACTCCTCCATGTTGAGCAACCCTGATTCATCAGCCAAGAGAGGATGGTATGTGGTCATCAGGAGGTTTCCTTGGCCATGTTTATCCTAAAGCCATGAGATTTTATGGGGTCCAGACCCACATGTTGAGGACTCCAGGGCAATTCCCTCCTGATTGTATAATGCTGGCACCACCCCTGTTGGGTCTATATCCTGGTAGGACAGGACATATCCAGGGATGGTGATAGTGATGTCTGGGGCACTGTTTGTAAGGTATGATTCCATGAGTATGGCTGTCAGGCTGTTGCTTGACTAGTCAGTGAAACACAATCTCCA